GCGGTTCGTCCCTTTTCCGATCATAGTATTTCCCCATCTTCTCCCTGGTGTCTGTTAAGCGAGCAAGAGCAGAATCGTGAACTCCTCGGATGAAGTGAGCGTACAGGTCACTGGTTGGGTTGACCACTTCGGCTTCCGTCGGCCAGTTGGTTCTTGGGTTGTAACCGTAATTGGTATAGAACGGAGATTGACCCGTGGCGGTGGTAACCGAGTTGTTGTAAGCATACTCCGCCAACGGGAGTAGCTCTGCCCAATCATCTTGCTCGTAGTTGCAGAATGCTCGTAAGTAGTGCTCGAGGGTTTGGTTGACCCGCTCCGTTTGCCCATCGGTCTGAGGGTGGAAAGCCGTACTCATTCTTATCCTCACGTCCAATAATTCCATAAGGGATGCCCAAAAGCTTGATGTAAACTTGGCGTCCCTGTCGGACACTATATCAAGAGGCAGCCCATGGAGTCGCCAGATTTGACCGAGGAATACCTTCGCTAGATCCTTCGCGGTCGTTTCTGCTACTAGGGGAATGAAATGCGACATCTTCGAGAACCTATCGACTACTACCCAGATTTGGTTATATCCCTTTGATTCTGGTAACTGCACGACGAAGTCCATTGATATTGATTGCCAGACAGAATGTGGAGTGGACAGTGGAAGAAGCGCACCATATTTCTTATGGCGGCTGGGTTTGTTGCGCTGGCACTCGTCACATGACCGAACTTAATCATCAATCCACTCGTTCATCTTTGGCCAATAGAAGTTACGCGTGATGAGTTCCAGTGTCTTGTCTTGTCCAAAGTGTCCTGCCACTTTCGAGTCGTGTTCTGCCTGTGCGATTCGGATCTTGATACGGTCGTCTGCCGGGATGTAGAGTCGGTTCTTATAGAAGAGTAGCCCGTCTTTCTCAGCAATATCCTTCAATTCCCCCAGCTTCTCCCCTTGCTCAACTCTCTCTTTCAATCCTACCCATGTCGGGTCTCCCGATGCCGCCTGCCTGACATGATCCAGAAAATTCTTAGACCAGTCAATCACCCCCTTGGAGGCAAGCGACACCGCTGATACCACAAACTCTTCCTCCGCCAACTGTCTGGGCTTAAAGAACCTGTCTATCGGCTGTTTCCCAAGCGTGCCTCCCCCTTCAGGACGGTACTCCGGCCGTCGCGATAGTGCATCTGCCTTCCCATTTTTGGTTCCCGGGCGGTAAATAATCTTGAAGTCAAATTCCGCCAAAGACTCAGCCCACCTTGCCTGTCGTCGGTTAAGAACCTTGGTTGTTGAAAAATATTCCAAGTTCTTGTGATCCGTATAGACAAGAACCGTTCGGCTAGGTCCTTCGAGGTAGTGACGCCATTGCTTGAAGGCTGACACAATTCCTAGCATCTCCTTATCCCAGACGTCGTAGTTGAGTTCCGCTGGGTTAAGTTTTCGAGAATAAAAGGCAACAGGGTGAGTCTTTCCGTCAATAACCTGGGATAGAATTGCGGCGATAGTAAAATCACTTGCGTCCGTTTCCACGATAGTCTGGCGATCTGGAGAGAAGTGTACCAAGATCGGCGCAGACGTAAACAGGGTTTTGAGTTTTTCGAAGGCTGCTTGGGCCGTCATAGACCAGACAAAGTTTTTAGCATCACCCCTGAGACAATCGGTAATGGGTTTACAGACCCCGGAGAAATTGTGGATAAACCTTCTGTAGAAGTTGGCAAAGCCCATAAAGATCTGTACTTCCTTAACGCTGCGCGGGGCTTGCCAATTCGTAACAGACATGACCTTATCCAATGCCATGGTGACGCCTGCTGGGGCAAGGATGTATCCAAGAAACTCGATTTCGGTGAGCTCGAAGAACGATTTCTTCGGGTTGGCGACTAGATTGTATTCTTGTAGCCTACCAAGGACTTTGCCGACCAACTCTCTGTGCTCCTCCCGAGACTTGCTATATATTAGGATATCATCAAGGTATACTACTACACCTTGATCCAAGAATTCCCTCAGCTCATCATTCATCATGTTCTGGAAGGTCGCCGGCGCATTTGCCAGCCCAAAAGGCATGACGAGATACTCAAAATGCCCGTACCGCGTACGGAATGCTGTCTTCCACTCGTCGCCGTCTTTGATCCTGATGAGGTTGTAACCTTCCTTCAGGTCAATCTTCGAGAAGATAACCGCGCCTGCCACTCGATCTCGTAGTTCGTCCATAAGTGGTAACGGATACCTGTTCTTGATGGACACATGGTTAAGTCCACGGTAGTCGACGCAAAGTCGCAGACTACCGTCCTTCTTCTTCACAAATAGGATTGGGGCTCCTGCCGGGGATTTGCTAGGCCTAATCTTTCCCAATCGCAACATTTTGTCCAGGTACTCCCGAAGCACCTTCAGCTCGACTTCAGATAAGGAATAAACGGGTCCCCATGGTGGCTGTTTTCCTGGTTCGAGGTCTATCGCATGGTCGTAAGATCGATGCGGTGGTAATTTATCTGCTTCTGATGGTAGGAAGACCTTAAGGAACCCATGGAGCCAAGAGGGAAGAGTTTCACGGAGGTTGACCGATTCATCTTCCAAAAGGCAAATACTACCGATGAATTGGGCCTCCGGATCGTCTAGTACACCCTCATCCATTTCTATTTGAGGTTCCTTGTCAGTGAAGCATCGACTCTTGCAGTTTTCGCCATCGTAGGAAACTTCCCCATTTGCCCCTATAACCGGCTTGTGTTCTTTCAACCACCAGTTCGGTAATATTGAATCGATGCCGAGTGGGAGAGGGGCGATTTCGAATGACAACTGTGTTTGGTGCCCCCTCGACATTATAATTAATGGTTGTGTAAAGGCGTGTCCCGTGCCCTTCATAACTTCTCCCGTAAATCCAAATACCCGGGCCGGGACGTCTCGTTTCACCTTCGGGACCTCAAAACTATCAACAAAAACAGCAGACAGAACAGGACCAGTTGCACCAGTATCCAACAACACCTTACAAGGTAAACATTTTTCCGCAAAACAAAGGAACTGATTAACGATAGGTCGAGGACCGTGAATAGGTTCCTCCAAAATTTTCTGTTTTTTCTCCGGTTGGGACGCTCTCCCTTCCTGCCTTTTTCTTTTCATATTTTTTTTGTTGTTTTCCGTCAGTGATCACATAGCAATCTGGGGATACTCCTGACCTGACTCATCAGAGTCCCCTTTTAAAAATCCTCGTCGAAATCCATCTCAGATTCCGATCCGCGTTCTCGCACAAACGCTTGCCCACTGGTGTACTCCGCAGCAGCCGTCGCAGCCGGTTTCCTAGCACGGTGCCTCATTCGCTTTCTCTGAGGTTGGGGTTCCGGTGGTTCCATATCGTGGTCGCCATCGTCATCGCGGGTACGCTTTCTGGAGAAAGAGGAGATAGATGCACTGCTGTTAGCATCTGAACGACACTACTTCCAAAGATGACCCTTTCGGCCACATCGCACACAGGCTCCATTGGTCTTTCGCTGTTCTCGGACCGGCTGTGGAACTCCTTTGGTGGCTTGGTCGTAGTCGTAGTATATCGGCTTATTCCCCGACTTGTTCTTGCTAGTGCTCTTCTTATCTTGCCCTTTTTCTTTCTCCTCAGTCTGAGCCCTCCCCTTGATCTTAAACCGCTTCTCCTTTTGCCGCGAGTTCCCACTATTACTCGTCTCCCTTCCTCTCGACTCCGCTTTCCCCAACATCTTCATCTGCTCTTGATAAGCCTCATGAGCCTTGCCGGCTCGTTCCAACTGTTGGATGTACTCGGAGTCGTCATCGGTTGGATCGAAACGTGAGTGGCACTCCCGGATTTCATTTGGTAGCCCTTGGAGCAGGGCGGCGCGATAGGATGCTCCTTTCATCTGAGCGTGCTGGTTCATGATTTCCATTCTCGTCAGGTAGTCTCCGATGTTAGCAGAGTACTTAAACTGCTGCATCTTCATCGCGTTCTCCATAGCCTCTTGAGTGCTTAAGAAACGTTTCCTAATCTCCTGACGGAACCGAGTCCAAGTAGCGTAGTCCGCGGCTGCCGGTCCTAGCATCTTGGTCTCGATATATTCCATGAACCATTCCTTTGCCAACCCACACGTATACGTTCCAGCGAACAGTACCTTGTTCCTGTCCGTTCGGAACTTCTTGGGCTTCTGCTCGAAGTAGATCTCGCACTCCATGAGCCAATGCCGCAGGTTATGCTTCTGTAACGGAGCCATTTCAACTGTCTGGTGTATGAGTACACACAGGGCCCGGTTACATGCTGAGAGTTATTGTTAGAAGCCAGTTGCACGGTGATATGCAAGTACCGGCAGTGTGGTTAGCTACCAGCTGTTAGAGTAACTACATTCCGGGCGCTAGGAAGAGGATCTATTCATGGGAGCAATGACTGACGAGTCTATGCCTCGCCAGTGACTAGAAGACCGGCCAGAGTGAAGCTCTGATTGACCGGTGATCCTCTGTATCCTCGGTGCATTGTAAGTCCGCCGAAGGGCAGGGACTATGCTAGGGAAGTCTACAATAAGCGAAAGCTCTACAGCAATGATTAAGCTTACACCTGAGCGACAGCTCATTCATGCAGGTCCTCAGTTGTGTGGCAACCAAGGCTGCAGGTGTTACAAAGGCTTTGACTAAGGGTGGTTGCCTTGGGTATCGGAAACACCTGCTGACGCTTAGAGAAAAGCGGGGTAGCGGTGGTATTGTTTCCGGTACTGAGGGAAGGCCCACCGGAACTTAGTAAAGGAGTTAGGAGCAGAGAACAGAGGCCTTCGGAGTATAAGTACTCAGGTTCATTCTCGCCCTTCAGTCCTATTCTCTCCAGTCTTCATCAGAAAGAAAAACCAAGTTCTTATCGGTAGCAGAGCCCTTAAAGATTATTGAGTTCTAGCGATAGAATCTTTGAATAATCTGCAACCTGATTGTCTATCTTGCACGGCCGTCTCTATTCTATATAAATCTATTTCTCTTAGAAAGGACCCCCGTTACAGATAATCTTTAAGGCTCAAGTCACCTTCAGATTATTCTTCCTCTATACAAAATGTCCGCCCTCTCGGCTCCAGATGCACCCCTTCAGATTGAATGGCAGCCGGTGCCCCTCCAGCTTGATGCCACCGGGCAGACACAGCTTGTCAAGAAGCCCAGGACCGCTCTACAGACCTACATTCCCGGCTGTGAGCCTGCCTGGCAGGATACCGACGAGATTTCCGTCCAACAGTTCTTCACAGAGCTCCAGACCTACCTCCAGCACAGCCTGCAGAATCAGTTGACCCGGGGCAGTCAGGCCCTACTCCTTGTACAAGAACGCCAGGCAGCACAGAATGCTCTGATGGCGGAAGCTCTTGAGTACATGAGAATGGAGGTCAACTCTGTTCAGGAAGAACTCCGGAAGTATGTGGAGAAAGATGAGCTGAATGCCGATGCCATGGAGATTGAGTGGACAAACCCGGCTACTCCACCGGACTTTGTGGCCGAGATACAGAGAGCCCTTGATGAAGGAAGACTGGTGGTAGCTAGACCAGCAACTCCGGCACCAAATCCAGTCTCCAGGTCCTCTTCCAGAGCAGCTACCAGGACAATGCAGCGGAAGGCCAGCCCCTTTGCAGCATTTCCGGTCAGATCCACTAGGAGAGTTATTCCTATTGTGCAGCCAGCGGTGGGAGCTTCACCCTTACCACCTAGCCGCTTCGGTGGAGTACACCCACTCCTTGGAGGAACTGACCGATCCTTTGACTATGAAGGAGAGTTCTTCTCAGGTGCAGGCCGAGGACCACCCAGTCCACTAGCCAGGAATCCAGGAAGGTTCACCATGTCCGGGGCCGCTCAACCAGCAGCAACCTCACCATTGGCCAGCAATGTGGCACCGGTAGCACCTGTGGCCCCTCCTGCTGTGGCCGCCGCTCCCCCTCCGGCTCAGGCACAGGGTGGAAGTAGTGGGAACCAGAACCCTCCGGCCCAAGCACAGGGTGGAAGTGGTGGAAACCAGAACCCCCCACCTCCTGTGGCCCGTGCTCCTGCTCCTGGAGACTCAGACAGTTCTGATAGCTCCGATTCGGAACCAGAAGGTGGTGATAGAAGAGGCTGGCGGAGATATCTCAAGAAGAAGTTGGAGAAGCAGCAGAAGAATCTGTTGGCTATGATGTCCCAGCAGTTCCAACCTCCGACCGCCTCTCCCTCTTCCTCAACAACCAGGGCCCGAGAACCAAAGGCACCACCACCCTCCAAGTTCCAGGGCAAAGCGGAGCAAGTGGAGACCTTTATCCGGCAATGTGAGAATGTGTTCTCCATTGAGAGTCTGTCCTTCACCTCCGAGGAGGTTAAGATTCGATATGCAGGCAACTTGATGGAAGGAGAGGCAGCGATCCGATGGTATGAAGCATACCATAATTCGATTGATCAAGCCTCCGCCAACCGCCTTGCTGGAATGCCGGTGTCATTGGATCTGAGATGGAAGCGTTGGGATTCCTTTGTGGATGCTTTTAGAGCTGCCTTCGGTGAAGCCATCTCCCGAGATGATGCTGTAGCCCAATGGAATGCCCTAACCCACACGGCTCGAGGAGGAATAGACCTCTTCCTGAATACTATTATTCAGCTGATGTGGAAGACTGGCTATGAGGGTCAGTTGGTGGATGATAAGATTCACAATTCCCTCCTCCCGGACCTAGGCATGAGTTGGGCCCTTTTTAATCCCAAGCCAAAGTCCTTGATGGAGCGGATAGCTGCTCTAAGAGAATTAGGGCACACACATGAAAGGTACCAAGGGATGGCAGCTGAGAAAGCGCACCCTCGGACCAAGAAAGATCCTCCTGCTCAGAAGGACCAGCAGCCTAAGAGGAAAAGAGAAGCTGCAAGCTCCTCCGGACCTCAGAAGACTCCTGGACCTAAAGACAAAGCGGTGGAACTGAAGGGTATCCCGGGGGATATTCTAGAAGAAAGAATGAAAGCAGAAGTATGCTTGAAGGTATGACCTTCCGGTACTCCCTATTGGTAGAGTGCATAGACTGACTTGTGCAATAGTGCGGCAAGTCCAGACACAAATGGACCGATTGTTGGTCCAAGCAACCCACTGTTGTTCGAGTGGCAGCAGTGAGAGTACAAAAGCGGAAAAGAGGGAAGGGTAATTCCAACTCTCAGAAGAAGGCTAAAGTGGCTGCTGTAGTAGCAGAAGATCCACTTGTTGTACTCCCGGAGGTTACAGAAGATTTTGTTTTCCAGCCTGAGCAAGACTCGGACAATGAAATCATCTGGTAGAAAAAGTGTCTGTTTTAGTCTATGTTTACTAGTTTTCTTTTATATGGGTTTTGGGTTTCTATGTTTCTCTTGAATAAATTATGATTGTGTTTCCGCCTATTTGATTGCTCCAAGCACTCTGAGGATGGGTTTAAGACCCGAAACAGCTGGTCTGTCAGTGCTCTACCAAAGTTACATTTTGCTACCAAGACACTTCCAAACCACTGCTAAAAAGACTACTACACAATATATCGGCTATATTATCGCTTGGGAATAGAACCAAAGGATCTCTGATCTTAGTAGTGCCCGAAGCTATTAGCTATGTTGAAAAGACAAAGAGAAACAAGTCCAGAACCCGCTGTTAAGCAAAGAAGGTTGGAACAGAGGCTTCCCTCCTTACCAGTACATGGAAAAAGACCTATACTGAAGGCAGGACTGTCATGGACGGTCAAAGGAAAGGATGAAGGCGCCCAAGGGTCCTTCCTGTTTGACACCGGTTGTACAGGAGCCATCCTCAACCAGAGTTTTGTCAGGAAACATGGAATTCCCTTAGTGCGGCGGGATCAACCTCTGACAATGTTTGATGCTCAAGGAGATGTCATGATGGGAGGAGGCGAGTATTACACTCACCCGGTCCGCATGACTATGGGAGATCATAAAGAGACACTCCGATGGGAGGTGGCTACACTGGAAGAAGGAATGACCGGTTACCTGCCAATTAGTTGGGCTAGGAAGCATAACCCGGACATCAACTGGGAACTCAACACCATGAGCTGGAGGAGTGACTACTGCAAGCAGAATTGTCTCCCAGCGGCCACCAAGATTGAACTGATCTCTCCATACCAAATGTTGGAAGAAGAAGAGACAGTCTATCAATTGGTTGGTTCAGTATGGCATGATGAGGACGGAGGTGATATTGCTGAGAAAATACATCACCTATACCGGGATTGGGCTGATGTGTTCAGTCAAGAGAAGATTGAGGAAATGCCGCCGCATTCCCATAATGATCTAAAGATCAAACTCTTGCCTGGGACCGCTCCCCCATTTGGCCCGCTATACCCATGCTCCGCTCCAGAGTTGAAGGCCCTCCGAGAGTACCTGGACAAGGAGTTGTCTTCAGGAAAGATCTCTAGATCTAACAGCCCTGCTGCGGCGCCCATACTGTTCATTCCTAAGAAGGATGGGACATTGCGGATTTGCGTGGACTACAGAGGATTGAACAAGGTCACCGTCAAGGACAAGTACCCGCTGCCTATCATGAGTGAGCTCAGAGACAGGTTGTTCAAGGCCAAGATCTTCACAAAGATAGACCTGAAGAACGGCTTCAATTTGATCAGGATAGCAGAAGGTGATGAGTGGAAAACCGCTTTCAGAACCCGCTATGGACTGTATCAGTATAATGTGATGCCATTTGGTCTATGCAATGCTCCCTCTGCATTCCAGGCAATGATCAATGATGTGCTAAAGGAACTACTGGATGAAGGAGTGGTTGTCTATATCGACGACATCCTCATCTACTCGGAGACTGAGAAAGAGCATGAGCTATTGGTCAAGAAGGTACTACAGAAGCTTAGGGAAGCTAAGCTCTGTGCCTCGATCAGTAAGACATCCTTCCATGTCCGAGAAGTAGAATACCTAGGCTATCATATCTCGGAAGAAGGAGTATCTATGTCAGAAGACAAGGTGGAGGCAGTTAAGGAATGGCCAGTCCCTGAGAACATCAAGGCAGTACAGGCATTCCTCGGATTTGCAAACTTCTATCGCCGCTTTATTGAAGGCTTCAGTAAAGTTTGCAAACCATTAACTGATCTCCTGCAAAAAGACAAGAAATGGTATTGGACAGCAGCACATGAGCAGGCCTTTGAAGAACTCAAGAGGCTGTTCACAAGCGCTCCAATCCTCCTTCATTTTGACCCTAGTAGGAGAACGGTGGTCGAGACAGATGCCAGTGATTTTGCCAAGGGAGCGGTGCTCTCTCAGTATGGGGAAGATGGGAAGCTACATCCGGTGGCATTCTATTCTAAGAAGTTCTCCCCCGCTGAGATCAACTATGACATTCATGATAAGGAAATGGGAGCTATTGTAGCCTCTTTCCGGGAATGGGAACACATGCTCAAATCTTGTGAACAAGAGATCACGGTTTTTACAGACCACAAGAACTTGGAGTACTTTAATTCTACCAAGGTTCTCACTAGGCGGCAAGCTAGATGGTCTGAAGACCTCGCAGGCTACAATTTCAAAGTTGTCTACAGACCGGGGGAAAAGAATGGCAAGACTGATGTGCTATCTAGGCGCTGGGATCACCGCCTTGGAGAGGGAGGTGAAACTCTGCAGCCGGAGCCACAGATCTTTTTTAGGCCAGGTCAATTGGTTTTGGATCCTGCAAAGCTAGCGGCTGTCAGGGTGAATCAATTGCAGAATACATTCTTGGAGCGCCTATATGCGGCTGCTAAAGAGGATAGTTTCTGGCAGGAATTGCACCGCTCCCTGGTTGAAAGGAAACCAAATTTGGACCAGAACTTGTCGGTCAAGAACGGTCTCATCTTCTACAAGAATAGATGGTACATACCCAAGGATAAGAAGCTTCAGATGGAAATACTGTCCGATACCCATGACTCTAAGGTGGCTGGTCATTTTGGCCAATTTAAGACACTAGAGCGGGTGAAAAATAACTTCTTTTGGCCCAACATGGATAAGGATGTTGAGGAATATGTCCGGAGCTGTGACAGCTGCCAGAGGAATAAGACCTCAAGACACAAGAAGTTTGGTATGCTCCAACCGTTGGAGATACCCTATCGGCCATGGACTTCCATCTCTATGGACTTCATTGTGGGACTACCGGAATCTAGTGGGTTTACAAAGATCTGGGTAATAGTGGACCGCTTTTCGAAGATGGCACACTACATCCCTCTTCCTACCCTCAATAAAACGGAAGATTTGGCTAAATTGTTCTTGAAGGAAGTTTGGAGACTCCATGGTTTGCCTGATGACATAGTCTCGGACAGAGATAGCAGGTTCATTTCTCACTTTTGGCAATCTCTCATGAGCCTCCTCAATGTGAAGCTGAAGATGTCCACATCTTTCCACCCCCAGACGGACGGTCAAACAGAAAGAGTTAATCAGACCCTGGAACATTACTTGCGGAGTTATTGTTCATATCAACAGGATGACTGGGCAGAACTCTTGCCTTTGGCAGAGTATGCTTATAACTCGGCGGTCTCTGAGTCTACCAAAGTATCGGCTTTTTATGCCAACTATGGATATGAACCCAGGACCAACTGGCCGGCCCCAAAGAAAGGAGTAGAATGGAACAATCCAGCGAGCAAGGTCATGATATCTCAATGGGAATCTATCTGGCAGGCTATGAACGCCAGCTTGGGTAAAACTAGGTTAAGGATGGCCCGGTGGTATGATGCTCATGCCCTGGCACCGCCTGAAATCAAGCCCGGAGATGAAGTTATGTTGGACCGGCGCAATGTGCAAACAAAGCGGCCTTTGGGAAAATTGGATCAAAAGAAGATGGGACCCTTTAAGGTCTTAGAAGCTATTGGTACCCGTGCCTACAAGCTCTCTCTTCCCCCCCAGATGGGAATCCACCCGGTCTTCCATGTCTCTCTCCTAGAACCCTATAGAGCACCGGTAGATCCTGAGAGAAGAGTTCCCCCACCGGAACCCGAAGAGGTTGAGGGAGAACAGAACTGGGTTGTCCGAGAGGTAGCTGATAGCCGGGTCAATAAGAAGAGAAGACGAGTGGAATATCTAGTGCTGTGGGAAGGTTATGAGAACGAGGATGCTACATGGGAACCTTGGGAGCATCTCAAGAAGAGTGCTGAAGAAGCCCTTCGGGATTTCCATATGAGGTATCCTGAGAAACCCAAGGACAAGCGGATTGTTGGGGTGTAGATTATTTCCTTTGGGTTTTCATTTCCTTGCATATCACGGAGTTTTCTTGTCATATAGAATGGTAATAGAATGGTTATAGATCTCGGAGACCAAGATCCTGGAAGAGGGGAGTGGTGTAACGGAGCCATTTCAACTGTCTGGTGTATGAGTACACACAGGGCCCGGTTACATGCTGAGAGTTATTGTTAGAAGCCAGTTGCACGGTGATATGCAAGTACCGGCAGTGTGGTTAGCTACCAGCTGTTAGAGTAACTACATTCCGGGCGCTAGGAAGAGGATCTATTCATGGGAGCAATGACTGACGAGTCTATGCCTCGCCAGTGACTAGAAGACCGGCCAGAGTGAAGCTCTGATTGACCGGTGATCCTCTGTATCCTCGGTGCATTGTAAGTCCGCCGAAGGGCAGGGACTATGCTAGGGAAGTCTACAATAAGCGAAAGCTCTACAGCAATGATTAAGCTTACACCTGAGCGACAGCTCATTCATGCAGGTCCTCAGTTGTGTGGCAACCAAGGCTGCAGGTGTTACAAAGGCTTTGACTAAGGGTGGTTGCCTTGGGTATCGGAAACACCTGCTGACGCTTAGAGAAAAGCGGGGTAGCGGTGGTATTGTTTCCGGTACTGAGGGAAGGCCCACCGGAACTTAGTAAAGGAGTTAGGAGCAGAGAACAGAGGCCTTCGGAGTATAAGTACTCAGGTTCATTCTCGCCCTTCAGTCCTATTCTCTCCAGTCTTCATCAGAAAGAAAAACCAAGTTCTTATCGGTAGCAGAGCCCTTAAAGATTATTGAGTTCTAGCGATAGAATCTTTGAATAATCTGCAACCTGATTGTCTATCTTGCACGGCCGTCTCTATTCTATATAAATCTATTTCTCTTAGAAAGGACCCCCGTTACAGCTTCCTGGCATTATCGAACTCAAAGGGTATTTTAGCGAGCGAATCTACCATATCGTCGTCTTCAGGCGGCGCCGAATTCCGTTTTCCGCCTCGGTTCATTCTCCAATTCTTCCGACCGTGCGACCATTCACTGTTATCGTCGTCATCGTCGTCGGAAGGTTCTGGATCTCCCCCAACGTTTCCTCTTGGTGGGTTTTGTGGAGGTTGATTCCCACCATTCCCCCCAACTGGAGCAGCTCCCACCGGTCCTCTGCCACTATTGCTATGCACTGGGCCGGCATCCTCCGGTAGCCTGCCTCCATTTCCTCCTACGGGACCAGCATTTCCTCCTACTGGGCCAGCATTTCCTCCTACTGGGCCAGCATTTTCGGGATTTTTGCCATTGCCAACAGGAACCGTTTGGGGTGCATTAGGGTCCACGGGAATACTCACCATGGAGGGTGCTACCGACAAATGTTGTCGTAGACGTTCTTCCATCTCGGCTATTCGTTGGTTTCTTACGTCGTCGGACTGCTTGAATTGTGCCAATAGTTCCCGCTGTTCCCTTTTCTCCTGCTCTCGCTCTTCTCTTGCAACTCTTAGCTGTCGTTCCGCCTCCAATAGTTGGTTCTGGGTAATTCGATGGTTACGGTCTAGAACCTCGTGGTCGGCGGCTCGTGCGGCTTCCTGTACCTGTCGAACATTTTCGACGAGCTCAAAGAGCGATTCGAGATGTTGGTTCTGGGCGATGGCTTCTTGCCGTACTTTCTTATCTAGGATCTGCCCACTCCCTTGCACTTGTTCCTGGAGGTTTTGTAGCTGCTGCCAAACGGCCTGTCCAGCTGTACCAAGATACCTCATTTGTGCCTCATGGGTATCCAAAAACTCCTGCATGGACCTCGTAAACTGGGCTTGAGCAGAGCGTTTACTCGTTGACCTAGTTTGTGTAGAGGGTCCTCCCTGGAGTAGGGGATCGGGGCTAACAGCCCCAGATAGTACCATAGCGTCTTCTGCGGCCTCGTCTGTTACGGCCGAGGTGTCTACGAAATAATCCCCTCGGGTAGCCATTGTGATAGGGGATAATGATGATAGTTCTTCTTTGAGGTGACTTCGTTACTCCAAGTGAACTTGTGAGTAACAATATACTGTGAGGGATGCGTACCAGACCACAAGAGTACACTACGCAGAGCTCAGAGTTCGGCTAACAGCTACAAAGTTAGAAGTCTCCAAGGTCTCTTCAGTCAAGGTCGGGTATGATTCTCCTTGATCCGATACGGGCCCCGCGAGCTACGTTATCAACAAAGATTCACTAGAGTTAGCGGATGGTGATCGACCGTCTTCGACGTAATAGTTCAGGTAGAGTGCGAAGTCACGATAGAGTAAAGTATAAAGAATAATATAGTCAAATAGAGCTGTAACTCGCGTATCAACGATTTTATATTGTTAAGACTCTGATTTCGCCGATGATGGTTTGGCTAGTCAGTGAATGACACGGTATTTATATCCCTCGCTTATGTCTCGAGGACCCAGTCTACTAATAATACCGAATACACTCGGGGCATGCCCGAGACCCTGAAAAACAACCAAGAACATTTTAACTCCTAAGTCCGTAACCCAAACTCCTAAACCCGCTGAAATCCCTCAACTTATTTATCCACTCTAATGCACGTTTCCCTGTCGATATCTTTTCTCCATCGGCCGTCTGGTGGATAATCGTCAGCGTCGGCTATTCGGAGGTCTCGGACGGCAAGGCTACCTACTCAGGCCTCTTCCCACATCGCTTTCCCACATAGCAGAGTCCTCTCATGCCCACAGGTACCGCCGATAGGTACTCGGTCGGCTGGCAGCTTGCGCCGATTCGCTCCGAGCGGTCCGATCTTCGATCCGATTGATTCCAGCTGTCCCTCATATATCCACCGGTACCAAAACGCTCCCCTCCAGCGGTTTGACGCTCCGGGGGTTATTATTGGGGTCGAAAACGTGTTTTTTAACTAGAAAAACCGCAACTCCGCATTTGGTCGCATATCGATCGCACCGCACCTCGTGGGTGCGAACCGGAGTTGACATTAGCATACAGAGGGTATTGGGGTATCTAATTAGCCTTTTCTCTTACTCCCGTAAATGCTTGGCATGCCCGTAACAGAATCCCCTTGATCCGATACGGGCCCCGCGAGCTACGTTCTCAACGAAGATTCACTAGAGTTAGCGTAGGATGTTCGACCGTCTTCGACGTAATAGTTCAGGTAGAGTTCGAAGTCACGATAGAATAAAGTATTTTCAAAAGTATAGTCAAGTAAAGTTGTAACTCGCATATCAACGATTTATATTGTTAAGACTCTGATTTCGCCGATGATGTAACGGGGGTCCTTTCTAAGAGAAATAGATTTGTTTAGAATAGAGACGGCCGTGCAAGATAGACAATCAGGTTGCAGATTATTCAAAGATACTATCGCTAGAACTCAATAATCTTTAAGGGCTCTGCTACCGATAAGAACTTGGTTTTCTTTCTGATGAAGATTGGAGAGAACAGGACTGAAAGGCGAGAATGAACCTGAGTACTTATACTCCGAAGGCCTCTATTCTCTGCTCCTAACTCCTTACTAAGTTCCGGTGGGCCTTCCTCAGTACCGGAAACAATACCACCGCTACCCCACTTTTCTCTAAGCGTCAGCAGGTGTTTCCGATACCCAAGGCAACCACCCTTAGTCAAAGCCTTTGTAACACCTGCAGCCTTGGTTGCCACACAACCGAGGACCTGCATGAATGAGCTACCGCTCAGGTGTAAGCTTAATCATTGCTGTAGAGCTTTCGCTTATTGTAGACTTCCCTAGCATAGTCCCTGCCTCTTCGGCGGTCATACAATGCTCAGAGGATACAGAGGATCACTGGACAATCAGAGCTTCACTCTGGCCGGTCTTCTAGTCACTGGCGAGGCATAGACTCGTCAGTCATTGCTTCCATGAATAGATCCCCTTCCTAGCGCCCGGAATGTAGTTACTCTAACAGCTGGTAGCTAACCACACTGCCGGTACTTGCATATCACCGTGCCACTGGCTTCTAACAATAACTCTCAGCATGTAATCGGGCCCTGTGTGTACTCATACACCAGACAGTTGAAATGGCTCCGTTACACCACTCCCCTCTTCCAGGATCTTGGTCTCCGAGATCTATAACCATTCTATTACCATTCAATCTATATGACAAGAAACTCCGTGATATGCAAGGAAATGAAAACCCAAAAGAAAAATCTACACCCCAACAAGCCGCTTGTCCTTGGGTTTCTTAGGATACCTCATGTGGAAATCTCGAAGGGCTTCTTCGGCACTCTTCTTGAGATGCTCCCAAGGTTCCCATGTAGCATCCTCGTTTTCATAACCTTCCCACAGCACTAGGTATTCCACTCGTCTCCTTTTCTTATTGACCCGGCTATCAGCTACCTCTCGGACAACCCAGTTCTGTTCTCCTTCAATCTCTTCGGGCTCCGGTACAGGAACTCTTCTCTCAGGATCTACCGGTGCTCGGTAAGGTTCCAGAAGAGAGACATGAAAGACCGGGTGGATTCCCATTTGGGGGGGAAGAGAGAGCTTGTAGGCACGGGTACCAATAGCTTCTAAGACCTTAAAGGGTCCCATCTTCTTCTGATCCAATTTTCCCAAAGGCCGCTTTGTTTGCACATTGCGCCGGTCCAACATAACTTCATCTCCGGGCTTGATTTCAGGCGGTGCCAGGGCATGAGCATCATACCACCGGGCCATCCTTAACCTAGTTTTACCCAAGCTGGCGTTCATAGCCTGCCAGATAGATTCCCATTGAGATATCATGACCTTGCTCGCTGGATTGTTCCATTCTACTCCTTTCTTTGGGGCCGGCCAGTTGGTCCTGGGTTCATATCCATAGTTGGCATAAAAAGCCGATACTTTGGTAGACTCAGAGACCGCCGAGTTATAAGCATACTCTGCCAAAGGCAAGAGTTCTGCCCAGTCATCCTGTTGATATGAACAATAACTCCTCAAGTAATGTTCCAGGGTCTGGTTAACTCTTTCTGTTTGACCGTCCGTTTGGGGGTGGAAAGATGTGGACATCTTCAGCTTCACATTGAGGAGACTCATGAGAGATTGCCAAAAGTGAGAGATGAACCTGCTATCTCTATCCGAGACTATGTCATCGGGTAAACCATGGAGTCTCCAAACTTCCTTCAAGAACAACTTAGCCAAATCTTCCGTTTTATTGAGGGTAGGAAGAGGGATGTAGTGTGCCATCTTCGAAAAACTGTCCACTATTACCCAGATCTTTGTAAACCCACTAGATTCCGGTAATCCCACAATGAAGTCCATAGAGATGGAAGTCCATGGCCGATAGGGTATCTCCAGCGGTTGGAGCATACCAAACTTCTTGTGTCTTGAGGTCTTATTCCTCTGGCAGCTATCACAGCTCCGGACATATTCCTCAACATCCTTATCCATGTTGGCCCAAAAGAAGTTGTTTTTCACCCGCTCTAGTGTCTTAAATTGGCCAAAATGACCAGCCACCTTAGAGTCATGGGTATCGGACAGTATTTCCATCTGAAGCTTCTTGTCTTTGGGTATATACCATCTATTCTTGTAGAAGATGAGACCGTTCTTGACCGACAAGTTCTGGTCCAAATTTGGTTTCCTTTCAACCAGGGAGCAGTGCAGTTCCTGCCAGAAACTATCCTCTTTAGCAGCCGCATATAGGCACTCTAAGAATGTATTCTGCAATTGATTCACCCTGACAGCCGCTAGCTTTACAGGATCCAAAACCAATTGACCTGGCCTAAAAAAGAACTGTGGCTCCGGCTGCAGAGCTTCACCTCCCTCTCCAAGGCGGTGATCCCAGCGCCTAGATAGCACATCAGTCTTGCCATTCTTTTTTCCCGGTCTGTAGACAACTTTGAAATTGTAGCCGGCGAGGTCCTCAGACCATCTAGCTTGCCGCCTAGTGAGAACCTTGGTAGAATTAAAATACTCCAAGTTCTTGTGGTCTGTGAAAACCGTGATCTCTTGCTCACAAGATTTGAGCATGTGTTCCCATTCCCGGAAAGAGGCTACAATAGCTCCCATTTCCTTATCATGAATGTCATAGTTGATCTCAGCAGGGGAGAACTTCTTAGAATAGAATGCCACCGGATGTAGCTTCCCATCATCCCCATACTGAGAGAGCACCGCTCCCTTGACAAAATCACTGGCATCTGTCTCGACCACCGTTCTCCTACTAGGGTCAAAATGAAGGAGGATTGGAGCGCTTGTGAACAGCCTCTTGAGTTCTTCAAAGGCCTGCTCATGTGCTGCCGTCCAATACCATTTCTTGTCTTTTTGCAGGAGGTCAGTTAATGGTTTGCAAACTTTACTGAAGCCTTCAATAAAGCGGCGATAGAAGTTTGCAAATCCGAGGAATGCCTGTACTGCCTTGATATTCTCAGGGACCGGCCATTCCTTAACTGCCTCCACCTTGTCTTCTGACATAGATACTCCTTCTTCCGAGATGTGATAGCCTAGGTATTCTACTTCTCGGACATGGAAGGATGTCTTACTGATCGAGGCACAGAGCTTAGCTTCCCTAAGCTTCTGTAGTACCTTCTTGACCAATAGCTCATGCTCTTTCTCAGTCTCCGAGTAGATGAGGATGTCATCAATATAGACAACTACTCCTTCATCCAGTAGTTCCTTTAGCACATCATTGATCATTGCCTGGAAAGCGGATGGAGCATTGCATAGACCAAATGGCATCACATTATACTGATACAGTCCATAGCGGGTTCTGAAAGCGGTTTTCCACTCATCACCTTCTGCTATCCTGATCAAATTGAAGCCGTTCTTCAGGTCTATCTTTGTGAAGATCTTGGCCTTGAACAACCTGTCTCTGAGCTCACTCATGAGAGGCAGCGGGTACTTGTCCTTGACAGTGACCTTGTTCAAACCTCTGTAATCCACACAAATTCGCAATGTACCATCCTTCTTAGGAATGAACAATATGGGTGCCGCAGCAGTGCTGTTAGATCTAGAGATCTTTCCTGAAGACAATTCTTTGTCTAGGTACTCTCGGAGGGCCTTCAACTCTGGAGCGGAACATGGGTATAGCGGGCCAAATGGGGGAGCGGTGCCAGGCAAGAGTTTGATCTTCAAATCATTATGAGAATGCGGCGGCATTTCCTCAATCTTCTCTTGACTGAACACATCCGCCCATTCCCGGTAAAGATGGTGTATCTTCTCAGCGATATCACCTCCGTCCTCATCATGCCATACTGAACCAACCAATTGGTAAACTGTCTCTTCCTCTTCCAGCATCTGGTATGGAGAGATCAGTTCAATCTTGGTGGCCGCTGGGAGACAATTCTGCTTGCAGTAGTTACTCCTCCAGCTCATGGTGTTGAGTTCCCAGTTGATGTCCGGGTTATGCTTCCTAGCCCAACTAATTGGCAGGTAACCGGTCATTCCTTCTTCCAAAATAGCCACTTCCCATCGGAGTGTCTCCTTATGATCTCCCATAGTCATGCGGACCGGGTGAGTGTAATACTCGCCTCCTCCCATCATGACATCTCCTTGAGCATCAAACATCGTCAGAGGTTGATCCGGCCGCACTAAGGGGATTCCATGTTTCCTGACAAAACTCTGGTTGAGGATAGCTCCTGTACAACCGGTATCAAACAGGAAAGACCCTTGGGCGCCTTCATCCTTTCCTTTGACCGTCCATGACAGTCCTGCCTTCAGTATAGGTCTTTTTCCATGTACTGGTAAGGAGGGAAGTCTCTGTTCCAACCTTCTTTGCTTAACAGCGGGTTCCGAACTTGTTTCTCTTTGTCTTTTCAACATAGCTAATAGCTTCGGGCACTACTAAGATCAGAGATCCTTTGGTTCTATTCCCAAGCGGTAATATAGCAGATGTATTGTGTAGTAGTCCTTTTTATCAGCGGTTTGGAAGTGTCTTGGTAGCAAATATAACTTTGGTAGAGCACTGACAGACCAGCTGTTTCGGGTCTTAAACCCATCCTCAGAGTGCTTGGAGCAATCAAATAGGCGGAAACACAATCATAATTTATTCAAGAGAAAACATAGAAACCGAAAACCCCCATATAAAAGAAAACTAGTAAACATAGACTCAAACAGACACTTTTCTACCAGAGGATTTCATTGTCCGAGTCTTGCTCAGGCTGCAAAACAAAATCTTCTGTAACCTCCGGGAGTACAACAAGCGGATCCTCTGCTACTACAGCAGCCACTTTAGCCTTCTTCTGAGAGCTGGACTTGCCATTCCCTCTTTTTCGCTTTTGTACTCTCACTGCTGCCACTCGGACAACAGTAGGTTCTCTTGACCAACAATCGGTCCATTTGTGTCTGGACTTGCCGCACTATTGCACAAGTCAGTCTATGCACTCTACCAATAGGGAGTACCGGAAGGTCATACCTTCAAGCATACTTCTGCTTTCCTTCTTTCTTCTAGAATATCCCCCGGGATACCCTTCAGTTCCACCGCTTTGTCTTTAGGTCCAGGAGTCTTCTGAGGTCCGGAGGTGCTCGCAGCTTCTCTTTTCCTCTTAGGCTGCTGGTCCTTCTGGGCGGGAGGATCTTTCTTGGTCCGAGGGTGCGCTTTCTCAGCTGCCATCCCTTGGTACCTCTCATGGGTGTGCCCTCACTCTCTTAGAGCAGCTATCCGCTCCATCAAGGACTTTGGCTTGGGATTAAAAAGAGCCCAACTCATGCCTAGGTCCGGGAGGAGGGAATTATGAATCTTATCATCCACCAACTGACCCTCATAGCCAGTCTTCCACATCAGCTGAATGATAGTATTCAGAAAGAGGTCTATCCCTCCTCGAGCTGTGTGGGTGAGGGTATTCCATTGGGCTACAGCATTATCTCTAGAGATGGCTTCACCGAAGGCAGCTCTAAAAGCATCCACAAAGGAATCCCAACACTTCCATCTCTGATCCAACTGCACCGGCATTCCAGCAAGACGGTTGGCGGAGGCTTGATCAATTGAATTGTGGTATGCCTCATACCATCGGATCGCTGCCTCGCCTTCCATCAAGTTGCCTGCATATCGGATCTTGACTTCCTCAGAGGTTAATGACAGGCTCTCAATGGAGAACACATTCTCACATTGCCGGATGAAGGTTTCCACTTGCTCCGCCTTGCCCTGAAACTTAGAAGGTGGTGGTGCCTTTGGTTCTCGAGCTCTGGTGGAAGTAGAAGGGTCGGAGGTGGCCGGAGGTTGATACTGCTGGGACATCATTGCCAACAGATTCTTCTGTTGTTTCTCCAACTTCTTCTTAAGGTATCTCCGCCAGCCTCTTCTATCACCACCTTCTGGTTCCGAGTCTTTGCTGTCAGAACTGTCTGAGTCTCCTGGAGCGGGAGCGCGGGCTGCTGGAGGTGGAGGGTTCTGATTTCCACCACTTCCTCCCTACGCCTGAGCTGGAGGGGGAGCGGCGGCCGCAGCAGGAGGGGCCACAGGTGCTACCGGCGCCAGATTGCTGGCCAGTGGTGAGGTTGCTGCTGGTTGAGCGGCCCCAGACATGGTGAACCTTCCTGGGTTCCTGGCTAGCGGGCTGGGAGGTCCTCGGCCTGCACCTGGGTAGAGTTCTCCCTCATAGTCAAAGGATCGGTCGGCTAATCCGAGGAATGGGTTTATTCCTGCAAAGTGGCTAGGAGGTAAGGGAGATGCTCCCACCGCTGGCTGGACAATAGGAACGACTCTCCTAGTGGATCTGACCGGAAATGCTGCGAAGGGACTGGTCTTCCGCTGCATTGTCCTGGTGGCTGCCCTGGACGAGGACCTGGAGCCTGGATTTGGTGCCGGAGTTGCTGGTCTCACTACCACTAGCCTTCCTTCATCAAGGGCTTTCTGTATCTCGGCAACAAAGTCTGGTGGAGTTGCCGGGTTTGTCCACTCAATCTCCATGGCATCGGCTTCCAGTTCATCTCTCTCCGCATACTTTCGGAGTTCCTCCTGGACAGAGTTGACTTCATGCCTCATTGTGAGGGATGCGTACCAGACCACAAGAGTACACTACGCAGAGCTCAGAGTTCGGCTAACAGCTACAAAGGTAGAAGTCTCCAAGGTCTCTTCAGTCAACGTCGAGTATGATTCTCCTTGATCCGATACGGGCCCCGCGAGCTACGTTATCAACAAAGATTCACTAGAGTTAGCGTATAGTATTCGACCGTCTTCGACGTAATAGTTCAGGTAGAGTTCGAAGTCACGATAGAGTAAAGTAATTCCAAAAGTATATTCAAATAAAGTTGTAACTCGCGTATCAACGATTTATATTGTTAAGACTCTGATTTCGCCGATGATGGTCAGGCTAGTCAGTGAATGACACAGTATTTATATCCCTCGCTTATGTCTCGAGGACCCAATCTACTAATAATACAGAATACACTCGGGACATGCCCGAGACCCTGAAAAACAACCAAGAACTTTTAACTCCTAAGTCCGTACCCAAACTCCTAAAGCCGCGGAAACCCCTCAACCTATTTATCCACTCTAATGCACGTTTCCCTGTCGATGTTTCTTCTCCATCGGCCGTCTGGTGGATAATCGTCAGTGTCGGCTATTCGGAGGTCTCGGACGGCAAGGCTACCTACTCAGGCCTCTTCCCACATCGCTTTCCCACATAGCAGAGTCCTCTCATGCCCACAGGTACCGCCGATAGGTACTCGGTCGGCTGGCAGCTTGCGCCGATTCGCTCCGAGCGGTCCGATCTTCGATCCGATTGATTCCAGCTGTCCCTCATATATCCACCGGTACCAAAACACTCCCTTCCGGTGGTTTGACGCTCCGGGGGTTATTATTGGGGTCGAAAACGTGTTTTTTATGACTCTGGGTTTTTGGTCGTAATTTGGTCGCACCACACTCCGCGAGTGTGGTCAAGAGTTGCTTTTAGCGTACAGAGGGATTTGGGGTATCTACTAGCCTTTCTCTCACTCCCGTAAATGCTTGGCATGCCCTTAACAGCTTACCCCCCTTCCAGGGTGTCACGTCTCGGGACATCTTCTGACAGACTATGGTTCCAGTAAACCTGCTCCACATATCACCCGCGGTGTCTGTGGAGGGGAAGGACTTAGCCCCGTAGGGTACCTCTATAGTCTCAGGCGTTGGTCCTTCACGGCCTTGGGGTTCCTTCGATGGAAGTCGCGGACAAGGTCAAGTACTTCCTCATCCATAGCGTCCATGACTTGATACGTACAGTCACTCATCGAATAGCCCCGCCATTTCACCAGGTATTCCACTAATCCTCTTCTACTTTTCCGGCTCCCCACGATACTTTCCACTTCGTACAGCACCTCTCCTTCCTTATCGACCTCTTCGGGAGTTGGGGGAAACTGTTCTCGGCCTGGGATACTGCTCTGTCGATACCGTTCCAAGAGTTCGATATGGAACACGTTATGGATTTTGACTTGCGGTGGCAGTTCCAGTTCGCACGCTCGTTTACCGGCTAGTCGGACAATTTTGAACGGGCCGAGTTTCTTATGATCGAGTTTCTTAGTAGAGCGACGAGTCTTGATGTTGGTCGCATTGAGCATAACCATATCTCCCACCTTGAAGTTAGGCGGTTCGTCCCTTTTCCGATCATAGTATTTCCCCATCTTCTCCCTGGTGTCTGTTAAGCGAGCGAGAGCGGAATCATGAACTCCTCGGATAAAGTGAGCATACAAGTCACTGGTTGGGTTGACCACTTCAGCTTCCGTCGGCCAGTTGGTTCTTGGGTTGTAACCATAATTGGTATAGAACGGAGATTGGCCCGTGGCGGTGGTAACCGAGTTGTTGTAAGCATACTCCGCCAACGGGAGTAGCTCTGCCCAATCATCTTGCTCGTAGTTACAAAACGCTCGTAAGTAGTGCTCGAGGGTTTGGTTGACTCGCTCTGTTTGCCCGTCGGTCTGAGGGTGAAAAGCCGTACTCATTCTTATCCTCACATCCAACAATTCCATAAGGGATGCCCAAAAACTTGAAGTAAACTTGGCGTCCCTGTCGGAAACTATATCGAGAGGCAGCCCATAGAGTCGCCATATTTGACCGAGGAATATCTTCGCTAAATCCTGCGCGGTCGTTTCTGCTACTAGGGGAATGAAGTGCGACATCTTCGAGAACCTATCGACTACTACCCAGATTTGATTGTATCCCTTTGATTCCGGCAACTGTACGACGAAGTCCATTGATATCGATTGCCAGACAGAATGTGGCGTGGACAGTGGTAGAAGCGCACCGTATTTCTTATGGCGGCTGGGTTTATTGCGCTGGCACTCGTCACATGACCGAACGTAGTCATCAATCCACTCGTTCATTTTTGGCCAATAGAAGTTACGCGTGATGAGTTCCAGTGTCTTGTCTTGTCCAAAGTGTCCTGCCACTTTCGAGTCGTGTTCTGCCTGTGCGATTCGGATCTTGATACGGTCGTCTGCCGGGATGTAGAGTCGGTTCTTATAGAAGAGTAGCCCGTCTTTCTCAGCAATATCCTTCAATTCCCCCAGCTTCTCCCCTTGCTCAACTCTCTCTTTCAATCCTACCCATGTCGGGTCTCCCGATGCCGCCTGCCTGACATGATCCAGAAAATTCTTAGACCAGTCAATCACCCCCTTGGAGGCAAGCGACACCGCTGATACCACAAACTCTTCCTCCGCCAACTGTCCGGGCTTAAAGAACCTGTCTATCGGCTGTTTCCCAAGCGTGCCTCCCCCTTCAGGACGGTACTCCGGCCGTCGCGATAGTGCATCTGCCTTCCCATTTTTGGTTCCCGGGCGGTAAATAATCTTGAAATCAAATTCCGCCAAAGACTCAGCCCACCTTGCCTGTCGTCGGTTAAGAACCTTGGTTGTTGAAAAATATTCCAAGTTCTTGTGATCCGTATATACGAGAACCGTTCGGCTAGGTCCTTCGAGGTAGTGACGCCATTGCTTGAAGGCTGACACAATTCCCAACATCTCCTTATCCCAGACGTCGTAGTTGAGTTCCGCTGGGTTAAGTTTTCGAGAATAGAAGGCAACAGGGTGAGTCTTTCCGTCAATAACCTGGGATAGAATTGCGGCGATAGCAAAATCACTTGCGTCCGTTTCCACGATAGTCTGGCGATCTGGAGAGAAGTGTACCAAGATCGGCGCAGACGTAAACAGGGTTTTGAGTTTTTCGAAGGCTGCTTGGGCCGTCATAGACCAGACAAAGTTCTTAGCATCACCCCTGAGACAATCGGTAATGGGTTTACAGACCCCGGAGAAATTGTGGATAAACCTTCTGTAGAAGTTGGCAAAGCCCATGAAGATCTGTACTTCCTTAACGCTACGCGGGGCTTGCCAATTCGTAACAGACATGACCTTATCCAGCGCCATGGTGACGCCTGCTGGGGCAAGGATGTATCCGAGAAACTCGATTTCAGTGAGCTCGAAGAACGATTTCTTCGGGTTGGCGACCAGGTTGTATTCTTGTAGCCTACTAAGGACTTTGCCGACCAACTCCCTGTGCTCCTCTCGAGACTTACTATATATTAGGATATCATCAAGGTATACTACTACACCTTGATCCAAGAATTCCCTCAGCGCATCATTCATCATGTTCTGGAAGGTTGCCGGCGCATTTGCCAGCCCAAAAGGCATGACGAGGTACTCAAAATGCCCGTACCGCGTACGGAATGCTGTCTTCCACTCGTCGCCGTCTTTGATCCTGATGAGGTTGTAACCTTCCTTCAGGTCAATCTTCGAGAAGATAACCGCGCCTGCCACTCGATCTCGCAGTTCGTCCATAAGCGGTAACGGATACCTGTTCTTGATGGACACACGGTTAAGTCCACGGTAGTCAACGCAAAGTCGCAGACTTCCGTCCTTCTTCTTCACAAATAGGATTGGGGCTCCTGCTGGGGATTTGCTGGGCCTAATCTTCCCCAGTCGCAACATTTTGTCCAGGTACTCCCGAAGCACCTTCAGCTCGACTTCGGATAGGGAGTAAACGGGTCCCCATGGTGGCTGCTTCCCTGGTTCGAGATCTATCGCATGGTCGTAGGATCGATGCGGTGGTAACTTGTCTGCTTCTGATGGTAAGAAGACTTTAAGGTACCCATGGAGCCAGGAGGGGAGAGTTTCACGGAGGTTGACCGATTCATCTTCCAATAGACAGATGCTACCGATGAATTGGGCCTCCGGATCGTCCAGTACACCCTCGTCCATCTCTATTTGAGGTTCCTTGTCAGTGAAGCATCGACTCTTGCAGTTCTCGCCATCGTAGGAAACTTCCCCGTTTGCCCCTATAACCGGCTTGTGTTCTTTCAACCACCAGTTCGGTAATATTGCATCGATGCCAAGTGGGAGTGGGGCGATCTCGAATGACAACTGTGTTTGATGCCCCCTTGACATTATAATTAATGGTTGTGTAAAGGCGTGTCCCGTGCCCTTCATAACTTCTCCCGTAAATCCAAATACCCGGGCCGGGACGTCTCGTTTCACCTTCGGGACCTCAAAACTATCAACAAAAACAGCAGACAAAACAGGACCAGTTGCACCAGTATCCAACAACACCTTACAAGGTAAACATTTTTCCGCAAAACAAAGGAACTGATTAACGATAGGTCGAGGGCCGTGAATAGGTTCCTCCAAAATCTTCTGTTTTTTCTCCGGTTGGGACGCTCTCCCTTCCTGCCTTTTTCTTTTCATATTTTTTTTGTTGTTGTTTTCTGTCAGTGATAACATAGCAATCTGGGGATACTCCTGACCTGACTCATCAGAGTCCCCTTTTAAAAATCCTCGTCGAAATCCATCTCAGATTCCGATCCGCGTTCTCGCACAAACGCTTGCCCACTGGTATACTCCGCAGCAGCCGTCGCAGCCGGCTTCTTAGCACGGTGCCTCATTCGCTTTCTCTGAGGTTGGGGTTCCGGTGGTTCCATATCGTGGTCGCCATAGTCATCGCGGGTACGCTTTCGGGAGAAAGAGGAGATAGATGCACTGCTGTTAGCATCTGAACGACACCATTTCCAAAGATGACCCTTT